ACATCTTGTGGTCATTGTCACAAAACTGGGATATCATAGTTTCTATGACTTTATTTGCTCTTTCGATGGGATTCGTCTGCGGTGTATACGGTGGTGAGAATAGTTGTCGTATTCCTAAGTCGGTTAGGAATTTACGCATTTCACGATTCTTGTATTGTACCCCGTTGTGGAAAATTACAACTCTCGGGCATCCAAATCGAACGATAATCCTTTCGTGCAATGCTCTCCTTACTGCAGCGGCGGTAGCTTTTCGTAATGGTTGAAATTATATCCATTTAGTGAACCGATCTTGAAAAACCACAATATATCTATTTCCGGAAGTAGAGCGGGGTAAAGGGCCAATTAAATCAGTACTAATTGTGTGCCAAGGTCCCCCTTGAGGGCGTAGCTGCATTTTTCCTGGTGGTCGTAATTGAGTATATTTATATTGTTGACGTATCTGACATTGTCGAACATATTTAGCGATTTCTCGGAACATTCCGGGCCAATAGTAGTGTCTTGCTATGCGAGCTATGGTCTCAGCAACGCCTAAATGTCCGGCGGTCGGTCGATCATGACCTTCTTGTAGAATTTCAGATCGTCTTGATGTGGGAATACACAGTTCCCAAAGATCAGCCAGTTCGGGTTCTGTGAAGTCATATCGGTCGAAGAAATGTCGGTACAGTTTGCCATCTTTAATACAGTAATCAGAATTTTTATCGGGATCTTGCTCTACCTCTTGAAATTTTCTTGTATACCAAGGACATAAGATCATGTCATTCATGGCCTGAATTTCGGTACTATTAGTTTCGGGAATTGGATGTCTGGATAAAGCATCGGCTACTCGATTTAAGACACCGGGTTTGTATCTAATCTCAAAGTCGAACTGCTGAAGTGCCACTATCCATCGGGCTAATCGTCCGGTCGGATGTTGCAAATTCTGAAGCCATTTTAGAGACTGGTGATCGGTCTCGACTATAAAATGATAACCCTCCAAATACTGTCTCATTTTCTGAATTCTCCAAAATATGGCCAGGTATTCTTTCTCAGTAGTTGAGTAGTTTTTCTCCGGTGGAGTTAAGGTTCGGCTGGTATAACTAATGATGTGGTCTTGTCCTTCCAGATTTTGTATTAAAGCGGCTCCTAAGCCTTGATCGGATGCGTCGGTTTGCAGTACAAAGGGTTTTGTAAAATCGGGACAGGCAAGAACTGGCGCTTCGGTGAGCTTGGCAGCGGATATGCATCTTTTATAGACATTTCGTTTAATTTACGGAAATCTATACAGAAGCGGCGTTTGCCATCCTTCTTCTCGGCCAAAACAATTGGTGAGCTCCACGGACTATCAGATGGTTGTACAATCCCATCGGCTAGCATTCTCTCTAATTCATCGTCAATAATTTTCTGCATTGCGGGATTTCTAGGACGATACCTCTGTTTTATAGGAGTCGGATCCTTTAAGCGAATAACATGTTCAGCCATGTTAGTGTAGCCGTGTATCTCTTTAAATGCAGTGAATTCTTGTTCTATGAAATCGGCAATTTCTTTCTGCTGAACTTTGGATAAATAAAACGATGGAAGAGTAATCGATTCTATGGTTGACGTACGGTACACCCTATCTGTCTTAGGGTTTATAGTAATCTGGTTGGTTCCTATATCGATGGTAAAATTATATTTGGTGAGGAAATCCATTCCCAATACACAGTCTACAGTCAACGATGGCATAAGAAGAAAATCAGCTGCAACAGTCGTTGACAACAGTTGCCCTCGGATGTGATACTCCTCGGTAATGTTAACCAAAATTCCATTGGCTAATTCTGCTTGTATTTCCTGTTTTGCCGGATTCGGTAAATTCCTCATCTGCTTGCAATATTCAGCCACAACAGAACTGATGTAAGATCTCACCGATCCTGTATCAACTAAAGCAGAAAATGGTCGGTGATACATGTCTATGTTTACTCGGATGCGGTTATTCGACCAGTTACTTGTATTAGTACTGGTGAACGGTACGGATATGGTTAATGGTTCGGAGGCCTTTATTGTCTGGCGCTTTGCTGGCCTCGCGGAGTTCCGGCCCCGACGGCATTTCCCTGTGTCGCGTGGCTCTGGTTAACACATCGGCAATGTCTAGTCTGTACTCCTTCCCGTCCACATCGGGAACAGAATAAGCGGAATGGTCCTCGGCATGTAAATCTCGTGTGTCCTGTGGCTCCACATCTCCAACAGATAGTGTTCGCACCCTGTCTGGGTATTGTTTGTGAACGGTTATTTGTCTCGTAGTTAGGGCGAGAATTCGGTCTGATAATTCTATTGGGTTGTGAATCTGCAATGCCGGCATTTCGGATCGGCTCAGTCACTTTTCTTGTTTTGTTTTCTTTGTCCAGATCTTTTTGGAGTTGTTCGTACTCGTAGGTTTGTTGCACCAAATCGGAAATTCTTTCTACCTGCGTTCTTCGGATATATTGACGATATTCGGTCCGCAAACGCTTATAAATGCAAGTAACTTCTCGTTCGGCTGAAAATCCTCCATGCCGTCGTATCATAGTCTGCATTTCTAGAATAAAATTGCGTGCAGTTTCTTGTTTAACTTGATACTTGGAACTTATCATCTCTTCTAAATTGTCTCGGTAATCGGACGGATAAAAGAAAGTTTTAAAATCTTGCACAAAGTTATCACAAGTACTCCAGTTATGTTTATAGTTCATATACCACTGGTATGCTTTTCCCTGAAGCACTCCTGGTAAAGTTTTCAGTAACTGTGCATCGTTAATTTCTTATTCGCCCTGCACCTGTTCTAGTCTTTCTAGAAATGATATCGGGTCTGTTTTGCCATCAAATACAATGTTAGGTTTACGTATTTGATTTAGTAGTTCGAAAGCTGAAATTCTCGGTACTTCGGGGATCGATATAGTCGGTTCGGAGGGTGCAGATCGTGCTACGGGAGTTCCATTGCGTAGGAACTTTGTGATGCGCCGTCTCATCTCTTCCACTGTGCCTCCGGTTTCTAGATTGAAACGCTTAAGCTCAGCTGTCAATGCTTCTTTATTTAGTTTGTAAATCCATCCGACCCTGGGATCAGTGATTTCCAGGCCAGCTGTGGTTTCTTCGGAGTCAGAAGGCATTTTAAGATAAAACTTGCTGAACAGATTTCGGGCTACACCTTCTTCCTCGTTCTCACTTCAGATTGTGAGAATTTTTCGCTGAGCGTTTTTTTGATTCAATATCTCGGTGTGTAATTGTCGTATGCAGTCGGAAATAGTCGGAAACGCTTTCCTGGGTCCAATTATGTTGAAAACGACACCCTACTTGACTTCGGGTGTCTTCGGAAATGTTCGGTTAAGTTCGGCTTTTTCGAGAAAATGGCGGATCCACGGTACGGATGCTCACAGTAACCTTTTTTAAGGGTTAGAGCGGTAATATCTCGATCTCTTCTCCTTTATCTCTCCTCTCACAGTTGTTGATACTATGGTCTCTGTTTTACTCTTGTCGCTATTACGGTCCCTGCTCGGGCGCCAAAATTATGTGATGTACTTTCGAGGTTCGGTCGCAGACGCCGAACAGTACAGTCACAGTCCGGGTTCACTCGGTGGAGAAGTGTTTACCAAGGTTCGGGAATATTACAAGACTTGGTATAAATAAAACTTTTATTTTCCAAAATATATCGCAGTCTAACGTCATGTCAGGTACCGCGGAAAGACCTGCTAAGTACCCGGAGTCGGAGTCCAGGTGTGTACCTTACCTTGAGCGTCGCGGAAGAGACCTGTTAAACGCTCTGGTTAGGACACCCAGAGGAGGGTTGAGTGCCGTGGAAAGACCTACTAAGCACTGCCTGGTGTAGGTGACTCCATTGCTTTTATACAGAACGGCTGGTAGTGCCGTGTGCAACTCCAGCCGTTGAAACAGCGACTTCGTGGGCCGTGTGGAAAATCGCGGTGCGACAAACAATTATAATACAGCGGGAGCAAAATAAAATAAGTTCATTACTGAAAATATAAATAAAATCTGGAAATCCCAAAAATAAAAAAAAGGTTCATTACAAGTTCTTGTTATTTATTCTATCTATAATCATGATGATAAAAAGTAACATTTTTTGTACATTTCCAGAATAAAAAATTAGCTTTTATAAAAGCCTGTGCAATAAAAGTTTTTACGTACTGTACGATTTGTATTAAAAAAACTCGGTAATTAAATCAATGTTTTATTTGTTTTTCAGTAAGAATCTTGGACAACTTATAACTTCTTGATGTAGTAGACAGTGGTAATGGCATTACATATTTGAAATTGCTTCTTTAGCTGACTCTCTGTGCAATAGGGGTCGTCCATTAATCACGTGAGGTTTTTAGGCCACTTTTTTACACCCTCCCTCCCCTATCTAACATCACGTGTATTTTTTTTGTTAAAAAAAACTTCTTGCTCTATTTGTTTTAATAATTTTTAATTTTACCAAAATTTAATTGCCAATGTGAAGAAAATAAGATTACTGTTCCAAACAAAATTACTGGCTTGTAATCATGTATGAAAGCTTGTATCTATAATTTTTAATAAATAGCATAAAGGAGGCTTGTTCTGTTGGCAATATATACCATTTGGGGCCTTATTATTAAAAAATTGCAGGACGTAGCACAATACGCAGAGGTACCTTTTGCTTAAAAATTTATAAGAATTTAGAATATAGTATACAGTTCAATTTATTTTCACTTACATAAAATTTACAGCATGAAACAAGTTCTCATATTTAGTATCTCTCATATTTACACCACCAAATTAATTTTTAATTGTAAACTTTCATCAAAAAGGATATTTTCACAATTTTATTACATACATGACTAAAATATTTCAAAAATATATTTATTTCTGAACTGTCATTAAAAAACAATAATTTATTTTAACTTCTACATCATTTAACTTCTAAATCATTAATAATTGTAGGTTCATAAGGGAAACTTTCAACACTTTGTATCTTCAGAATTTTGTTATACTCATTGTGAATTAAGTATTCTATATATATTTAGGTGCTTGTTTCTTATGTTTTTGTATAACCCTTTTTAGTTGATTTTAAAATCAAAATCATCGACTACTCTAAGTCTAAACTACTTAGTAGTGAATGGTCCAGTAGGGGGTATTAATGTGAAACCAAGAATATATGAATATGACTTCACTGAGCAAAATAATGAAAGTCCTTATGTCACGCTTCCTTTGCCTGATACAGCAGAGTGCAATCGTCTTCTTGCAGCCAAAACAATCAATTTGAGGTTAGTGTTTATAGATTTACTTTTCTTGTAACATTTTGATTCTGTAATGCCAAAAAACAGTATAAGTGTAATATTATTTAGCATATACCTGTGCACATATGGACCGTGCCTTAGAAGTATATAAAGAACCATTAAGTAAATTGATTAGTAGCTGTTTCCAACTTCCGGTTATATTGGAAGTTAATGTTAACTTCATTTTTTTTAATAGAGCCTATATATGACTGCATTTCCAGAAAGAAGAAAAATAGATTAAAAATGCATGCCTAAGATTAGTCGCTTTGGAGCTATTATTTTAGAGAATCTTATAGCGTTTTCAACTTATTCCATTTCCATTCTTTATTATTTGAGTTAATAATACTTGATTCGCACTGACTACAAAAGTGCAAATAAGTTGAAAACACTTTCAGATGTACTTATTTAGTTTTTAGTTAAAATAATTCAATCAAAAACTTAACTGAAATACATGTTTTAAATTTTCAATATCCTATAAAATGAAGTCAAACTTCTTTGTTACCAAAAATCTAAGTATGCAAGATATCTAACTTCATAGAAAAAAATTGGCAAAAAAACATTAATCTAGTCATATTGTCAACACATTTTACGTTTAAAAATTTTATTTTTCCTGAAAGTTTTATTTATAATTTTGTTCTATATTGTATTTATTCTTTCCATTTAAAATTCCAGTTTTAGTTAAAATAGAGCACCTTGATATTTTATTTGAAGTTTTGTGAAATTAAACCTCTTGATCTGGATTTAAACATTTTAAGGTTTTCTAAAATATTTAAGGTTTTCTTTTGGTTTTAAAGAATTTTTATATAAGTTTTAACCCTGTTATGAAAACAATTAGCACAACAATGTGAAGTGTTAAAAAAGTGGATTTAATTCATATTGAAATTTTAGAAAAGATTCAGTTCAGTGTAAAGTACCCTGAAGAAGAATTGCTCCATAAAAAATTGGTTGGATAATTGGGGGGTGGAAGTGTCAAAGGTGGTATGTGCCAAAATTACATTTTCGAGATAATGAAGAAAAACTGTTTAGAATCGCAACAATGGTTTTAATGGCCATTTTCAGAATGCAAAAATAGGTTACGGAAACAAAATGTTTATTAACAGAAGCAGTCTTAGTTGTAGTAGTAGTAGTAGTAAAGGGGCGGCCTCAGCCTGGCAATTAGGCCACGAGTGGGCCCTTTTTGCCTACCCCGCCGTCCCATCACCTAACCACTCTCTGCCTCTGACCCTCCTCGAACCTACCCGACGCCCTAATGAACGCCAGGATTTTGGTCCATGGAAGGTCTCTCACCTCAACCCCTTGCAGCTCTTCAGCACCAAAGACTTTATGTCTTATTCTCCCAAAGGCTGCACACTGTCCCAGAAGGTGGACAGGGGTGTCCTCCCCTTCGCCACATTTCGGGCATAGGGGGTCCTCCTCAATTCCTATTAAGCTTAAATGCCTCCTAAGTCTGCAGTGGCCTGTCAGAA